ATCTAGTTGTATAGAAATTCAAATAAATGATCCTCTTTCGCTCAAGACTTCATAATTCCTTCTCTCCCTCTCCTTTATGATCAACTAATTTACAAATTAAGACAATAAGAAGTTGTATGAACGAAAATGGGATAATCAAGCGGATGAGTGAATGCAAAGGAGGTTTCATGTTGGATTTAAGATTGGGAACGCATCCCTGTTATCGACTGTTTCCATGGTAATAGATGAAAATTTCTTTACCCACAGAGACGGCCTCTCGATTAGTTCATGCGCGCCACCGCTATTTAACTCTTATCGAACAGTTCCCATAAGCCTGAGCAATCTCCCCTATTATCTCTGATATTACTCGATGTATAATATACTGAGGACCTTATGAGAGTGGTCTCAGGTTTGAGTGGGGGTACACAACAATCAGGACCATTCTCATACGGTCTTTAGTATACATGAATGTTACGTCGTTGGCCGTTCGTAACTAGGTGGCGTTGCGCACCTGGCGGTCAATTTAAATTCCAATATGATCAGATTAATTTGATTGATAATTTAATTATTTTATTCTTATTGATACTGCATAGCTGAACACGTGTGCTCTGGCGGACAATGACATCTCTTTTAAAAATCCAATTACAGAGTTCTTATTCATGAGAGAAATAGGATAAACAGTTGGAAATAAACAGTTAAAAATAACGAAAGTATAAACAGAGTTAATATAAATATTGGACGATTGTTGATTTTTTCGACGTCGGAGAACCGTTCGGGGTTACTTCACGCTTTTGAAAATTCATTCCTCCGCTCAAAGAGGATAGACCTGAGTAGAGGCCCGGATCGGGGGGTTTGACTGACTCCAAAAATCTTAGTTGGTACCCCACGGGAAATGCGGCGTCCCGGTCGAATTGTCGGTAAATGTGTCGGGTGCGTGAGTAACTCGGCAGTAGCAGTCGCGCTGTCACAGGGACAGGTTCGGAGGCATATTTTTGTCCTCCTTGTACTCAATGTTTACTTTATGTTTTTCAGTTGATTTATTCACCGACTAATTAATATTAAGGGATGAAACAAAGACTGTTCAATGGAGAATTAAATTGCCCAGCCATCAACCCCCGTTTCATCACTTAATCTCTCCAATAAAAAAATTAATATTGCGACGAAGTCACGGCGCTATAAGACACCCAATGTTTTCTCGGTGCAGAGTGACTCCCCAATAATTCGCCCGCTAATTAAAAAATCGTCTCTCCCCTCCTAATTAACAATAAGGAATGAAACCAATGCTGTTCGATGGAGAATTAAATTCCCCATCCTTCAACCCCCGTTTTATTCCTTAATCTCTGTAATAAGAAAATTAATATTGCGACGAA